CAGGAAACGAACCCTATACCTAAAATGTCTGTGTATCTATTGTATCTACATGTACATGTACCATGTATGTAACCCAGTAAAAAAAAAATGAAGAAAGAGATTATTGTGGTATACAGTATAGACAGAAGGATGCCAACAGACTGATACTTTAAGTTACACGTTCATTTGCTACCAAATGGCTACCAAATGCCACCCCTATCATGATGGGAATAGAACCCCTAACCCTGTGATCCAAAGATTTCTAATGCCGCTGCATCTGTTTTCCCAGGTGAGATATGAATGTCTGAATGAGGAGATAAAGATCGGGGAGTACTACCTGCGACTGCTGCTGGAGGAAGACGACAACGAAGACAACTCACAGATCAAGAGATCGTAAGTCATCATGTTCCCTTTCATTTGAATGTACAATGTCATGTATTAATACAATCAGTATTGATAAACAAAAACAGATATCTCAATACTCTTACAGTTCCTTAAGAATCTCTAGTATATGATATAAAACTCAGGGAAGTCTTCCTGCAATACGGCTTGTATTGTTGCTTTCTCTACTGTACTAATAATTTGAATGTCTTTGTTATGTACAAATTACACGATGAGCATGATGTCAGTGAGTTTTCACATATGCTACATCCAGGTACAGGACACAGTGAACACGATACACACACAAACTAAGTCATTTTCTGTAAGTGAATGATCTATCCCTCCACAGGTACGAGTTCTTTAATGACCTGTACCATCATTCTCTCGCCCAGGTACGAGTTCTTTAACGACCTGTACCACCGGTTCCTGCTGACTCCTAAGGTACAGATGAAGTGCATGTGTCTGCAGGCTATGACCATCGTGTACGGGCGCTGCTACGAGGAGATCGGAACGTTTAACGACACCAAGTACATGGTGGGGATGCTGGAGAGGGTGAGTGGGAGCTTGTATGTTTTTTTTTTTTAATATTTATGCAACAGAACAAACGAACATACAAAAAGACAAACGATATAGCGTAAGAGTACACACACACTGAATTACGTAAAAACATTCTACCCAGTCGATATGTATGTTTGTTTGTTTTTCAATGATAGTGCACCTTTTTCCAAAAATGAACTTTATGCTCTGGTGATGTTTGGGTGAAACATGTATAAGTAAGCTGATGCAGACACATGTAGTACATGTAGTCTCTTGCTGTCAGGGGCTGATTGAGCCTCCTCCCAGATCTAGAGAGCTAATGTTGCCACACATACATGTACAGTACACCTCTAACTTGAGAGAACCAAGTTGGTATTTACACACAGAATAATGTTATAGACTGCTACGTTGTATGCTCATATTATATTTTTTTATATGATATTGTAATGCCTTTGGTAATAGCCACTGGCTAGTTGGGCTGCCCTGGCTGTGAGGATTGAACAGCCAAACCAACAAACTAATTTAAAACTAATAATCATCTTGGTAAACAAGACTGGCAATGAAAACACATTGCCATGGTGACGGTGGTTGCTGTAGTGTTAGGGTTATTGTTTGCATGGCACTGCCATCATTTCATGATTTTGAGTAAGACTTGGTACAGATACTGTGCACTCCTCCCCTGAGTGTATAGTGAACGAGCCCCGGGGTCACCGAAAGTATGGCCATCCGGGGCAGACAGGTCTTCCCAAAGGCTTCCAGGAATGTGGGCATAGATGTGGGTCAGAGACATTCCTGTGGACATTCCATGCCTGTGGACAAAATGCCTGACAACTGCACACAATACTGTACCATTAGGCTCCTCCCTGAGACGTCGCCAAAAATGAGATTCTCATTTGTTGATCTTATTCTGGATGCACTTCATGATAGCATCTATGTTGCCTTTCACTTGTTGTATCTTCGGGTGGCTTTCGTCCTGATAGATCCGCCTCAGCATAACTAGAGCTTGTCTGTGACTGTCGTAGGCCTTGACTACATCACCACTGAGTAAACACGCAGCTCCTAATACAGTCAAGGTGTTTGCAATGTCAGGATCTGCAGTGTCCTGTCCACAAATGGTCTTTCTCATGTTTATTTCGTCTTCCAAGTAGCTGATAGCCTTTGTGTGCTCTTCGAGGTAAAACCAGGCTCCCCCGAGATTGTAGAGTGATCTTGCTATCTCATCATGTACTGCATCCTGACCAAAGATATCCCTCCACATCTGCAGTGCCTCTTCACTGTAGTTAAGTGCTTTTTTATAGTCACGAATGCCTCGACAAGCTGCCCCCAAAGTGTTAAGTGCTGTGGCAATGTCAGGATGTGGTGTATTTCGTCCATAGATGGTTCTGTATGTTTCTAGTGACTCTTCATAGCAGGTTATGGATTGCATGTGGTCCCCCAGTTCACTCCAGGCTAACCCCAGGTTGTTGAGTGAAATTGCAATGTCGGGACGTGCTGTAGTTGGATCATGGATCCTCCTGTGCATCTGCAGTGCTTCTTCTTGGTACATAATGGCTTTTCTGTTCTCTCCTAAAGAGTTCCAGGCTAACCCCAGGTTGCTAAGAGTTTTTGCAATGTTTGAGTGGGCTGTGCTCTGACCATGGACACTCCTGAACATTTGTAAGGCCTGTTCATAGTAGCTGATTGCTTTTTTATCATCATTCTGGTCATACCAAACTGACCCCAGCTTGTGGAATATTTTAGCAATATCAGGATGTGCTTTGTCCTGTCCATAGATATTCTTGAACATCTGCAGTGCCTGTTCATAGTAGCTGATTGCCTTTCCATGATCACCTTGCTGATGCCACCCCGACCCCAGGTGGTGAAGTGTTTTGGCCATCTCAGAATGTGGAGTACTCTGGTCATAAACACTGTTCAGCATCTGCAGTGCCTGTTCATAGTAGCCGATTGCTTTCTCATAGTCACCCATGTTTTCCCAGGCCAATCCTAGACGTTTGAGTGCTGATGCGATGTCAGGATGTGCTGAACTCTGATTTACATAGATGCTCCTGTACATCTGCAGTGCCTCCTCGTGATAGGTTATACATTTTTGGTGATGACCTTGACCTTCCCAGGCTAACCCCAGTCTTTCGAGAGTGTTGGCGATGTCAGAATGTTCTGTTTTTGGACCGTACATGCTCCTGTACATCTGGAAGTGCCTCCTCTAGGTAGCTAACTGCTTTTTTGTGATCACCAAGATAGTGCCAAGCTGCCCCCAGGAGTTTAAGTGATGCAGCAATGTCCACATGTGCAGTGCTCTGACCATAGATACTCCTGTGTATCTGCAGTGCCTCTTCATGGCAGCAGATTGCTTTCTTGTGATCTTCCTGGTTGGAACAAACTAGTCCCATGCTGATAAGTGTAGAGGCAATGTCAGGGTGACATTGTCCTGTACTCTGACCATTGCCTCTGTATTTCTGCAGTGCCTCTTCATGGTAGCTAATTGCTTTCTTGTAATCCCCCATGTCACGCCAGAGAGACCCCAGGTTGTTGAGTGCAGTAGCAATGTCAGGATGTGCTGTATTCTGATCCCTGTACACACTCCTGTACATCTGCAGTGCCTCTTCATTGTAGCTGATAGCTTTTTTGTAATCGTCTTGGTCATGCCAAGCTGATCCCAGGTTGAGGAGTTGGCTAGCAATGTGACAATGTTTTGCATCTGGGCCATAAATGCTCCTGTTCATCTGCGGTGCTTGTTCATAGTAGCTGATGGCTTTTTTCTGATCACCTTTTTCACGCCAGGCATGCCCCAGATTGTGGAATGCAGCGGCGATATCAGAATGTGTTGTTCTCTGGCCATAAATTCTTCTGAACATCTGCAGGGCCCACTCATGGTATCTGATTGCTTTGCTAAGGTCACCTTGCTTTTGCCAGGTTAGTCCCAAATTGATGAGTACAGAAGCAGTATGAGGGTGTGGTGTACTCTGGCCATAGATAGTTCTGAATGCCTCAAGTGCCTCCTCACAGTAAGAAATGCCTTTTCTGTAATCACCATAGTCCCGCCAAGCTTCACCGAGGTTGTTGAGTAAGGTAGCAGATAGAGGATGTGTTGTATCAGGACCAAAACAGCCCGACTCATCTCCAATGCCTCCTCATAATAAGCTACAGCTTTCTTGTGGTCTCCTAAATTCCTCCAAGCATGCCCTATGTTGTTTAGTGATTTGGCAATACTGGGATTGTCTGTCATTGGACTGTAATGTTTCCTCTCCATTTGCAGTGCCTCTTCATAGTTCTCAATTGCCTTCCTTGGATTGCCCAGGTGCTCGTACAATGTTCCCAACTCACCAAATGCAGAGGCAACCTCAGGATGTGTTGTACTGGGACCATACATAGTCCTTAACATCTGTAGTGCCTGGTTGGTGTATGTTATGGCTTTCCAGCAGTCTCCCAGGTGGTCCCAGCTACCTCCCAGCATCCTGAGTGAAGAGGCAATGTCTGGATGTGCTGTACTGTGGCCATAGACAGATTTCCTCATCTCCAGTGCTTGTTCATGAAGCCTGACTGCTTCCCTGTAGTCACCAAGTCGGTGCCAAGTTGTTGCAAGGCTTGACAATGATGCGGCAATGTCAGGATGTACTGTACTCTCTCCATGAATAATCTCTCTCATTCTAAGAACCTCTTCTTCATAGGCAAGGGCTTTTTTGTTATCACCCAAATGTGCCCAGGCTGTAGCCAGGTTGCTGGTAGTTGAGGCAATGTCAGGATGTGCTGTTATTTTGAACCAAAGACACATGTGAGTATTTGTAATGTCCTTTTCGTAGTAGCCAATTCCTTTCTTATGCTTACCCAAGGAATCCCAGGCTGCTCCAATGTTGTTGAGCGATGAGGCAATGCTAGGATGTACTGTATTCATACCATAAAGAGTCTGTTCCATCTTCAGTGATTGTTCGTAATAGCTGATTGCTTTCATATGATTACCCATGTAATCCCAACATGTTCCCAAATTGCTTAGTGACCAGGCAATGTCAGCCTGAGCTGTGTTTGGGCCATGGATGTTTCTTCTCATGCACAGTGCCTGCTCATGGTACTGAACTGCCTTCATGTCATCTCCCAGTCTCGTGTGGATGTGCCCAATGCTTTCCAGTGCAAAAGCAATACGATGATGTTCTGTGCTTGGACCATAAATGTTCTTTAACATCTGAAATCCCTGCTTACAGTAGTCCAGTGCTTCCTTGTATTTGCCAAGATGCTCCAAACTTGCCCCAAAGTTAAGAAGTGCTGTAGCAGTGTCAGGGTGTTCAGCAGTCAGGCCGTGAATTGTTCTGCTCATTTGAAGTCCCCTTTCATCAAAGGTGGCTGCTTTCTTGTAGTCACCCAGGTCTCTGTAAGCCATTCCCAGGTATGCAAATGATACATGAGGCTCCTCAATGGTTGGCACTCCTGTGTTAGAGGTTGGCTCGAGTGCCTTTTCAAAGTGACTGATTGCCCTTTTGGAATCTTTCAGCTGCATATGCATGACACCTTTTACCATAGGTGAATCATCAAACAATAGAGCTGAGAACAGCTGGTGTGAAACATTTGGTGAACCTTCTTTGTTGAGCAGTTCTTTTGAAAGTGCTTTTTTCAAAGGTACTGCAGTGTAGTAGTACCTGAACAGCTGTGTGCTCTTAGAAACGTAGAAGACAGTCTGGAGTCTGCTGAGTGTGTCTTCTGTCTCTGGTGACGTCTCGAGGGAAGCCAGGGCTGACAGGTTCTCATTCTGCCCACCGTTTGTGATGTACGTTCTCAGTCGGAGTTCTGCTGAGATGCTGACCAGCACCCTGAGGTGGTGCGCATTGTCAGCACTGATGGCTTGTGTGGACTCCATGTCGTCTATGGTGTTCCACACACTGGTGGGAATGACGCGTGTGCAAAGAGCGCAGCAGTCCACTGCAAGCGACGGCAAACGATAGATTTCCTCTTCACGTCAATAGCTTAGCAGTGAACTCCTGTTTGTTATACTTCCCCATGTTTTCCTTCAGGGTGTCCTGTGCCTCCAT